AGGTCTGCTTTAAGTCCTGATTGTTAGATATTATGTAATCTTGGATCAAAGCGACCCTAAAAGTAAGATGTTCCCTAAAATATTTTTGGCTTGAACTTCTATTGCAACGATGTTGAGTCTTAAAAAATTAATTTCTAACTGTGCCCACATATTGGATGATGTGCAGGTCCGGAAAATGTTTATTAAGTATGTTCAGCAGGCCCGAGCAGCTGAAAACCGCACTGAATCTGCAAAAATATTGAAAAAGTTGATATCATTCAATAGCTTGCTTGTCACACGACTGGTTCAAGATATTAGGGGGGAAGAAGAAACATCATCAAAATCTGCGCATGAGAAGCATCCTATGAATGATGAGGATGAAGAGAAGCCACTGTATGAGGAAGAGGAATGGGACTCTATGCAATCCCTTCAAAAATTAATAAAAGGTGGGAAAGACTTCAGAAAAGGCATCCAGACCGAGATAACCCTGAAAGGTGATCTTCCGGATATGGACAGAACTGATCTGTACAAAACATACTTGCAGTATTGTCTATCTGGAGATGTCACCATGATTCCTTTCGGTGGCCAAATCACCACCGAACGGGACGACTCCGAGTTTGTTCTATTGGGCCAACTTGGTTGCATCCTTGGGCTCACCAACAAGGAGATCGTCAACGTGCATCGTGGCTTGGCTGAACAGGCATTCAGGCAAAAAGCTGAGGTAATATTAGCCGATGGACAATTAACGAAGGCCAAGATGGAACAACTGAATGAAGTTCAGAAGAGTGTTGGGTTGCCCCTTCCTTATGCTCAAAAGATAATACAGAGCATAACGAGTACCAAACTGGGAGCAGCACTTGAAACTGCTGTGAGTCAGGGAAGGTTAAGTGTGAAGGAAGTTAGAGAACTGAAAGAGGCTGGGATTGATATCAACACTATGATCTCTGTGAGCTTACGCGAAAACCTTTTCCGAAAAACAGTGGATGATATATTTTCCTCTGGTACTGGAGAGTTTGACAAAGCAGAAGTGTATGAGAACATCCCTGCTGATCTTAATATTAATGCCGAGAAGGCCAAAAGGGTCGTGCATGATCTAGCACGTACTAGGCTGTCAAATTCACTCATTCAGGCGGTGGCGCTTCTAAGGCAGAGAAACCAGAAAGGAGTGGTATGTGTGATATTTATGCTGTTTTCTTACATTTTTATTGCCGTGTCGTAGATATATAGTTTTCGTCCCTACAAATATAGCATCTTTTTTGTTATTGTTGGTTTCTGAACAATAGAGATTCATCTCAATAATCAAAGTGACATGAAGATTTTGGCAGTTTTTCTTATCTCTCTCTTTATTGTTGTGGCAGGTATCTTCTCTCAATGACCTGTTAGCATGTGACAAAGCTGTACCTTCAACTCCATTATCATGGGAGTTGCCGGAGGAACTTGCCGATCTCTTTGTGATATATCTGCAAAGCGACCCGGCGCCTGAAAACGTGTCCCGGCTACAGTACTTGCTGGATATAAGTGATTCAAGGGCAGACACCTTAAGAAGCTTCAAGGGTAGGGTTGTCTCAGAAACTACTGAAGAGGAAGAAGAGTTTGTTTTTTGATTTGTTTTCTTCAAACTCAAAATTTACATCAGCAAATGAAGAAGAAGATAAACTAGTGTCTGTAGCCCATGATTTGTCTGTCTCACCAGATTTTTGGATATATATAGGGAAAATGTAATATGAATTTGTTTCATGCATGTATGAGAGGCAGGTGATATTGGATCAAGGTTTAATACTCTATAAAAGTTTATCCATGACGTGCAATATGAATTCAACACGTACACAATAAATTCTACAAAAAACAAGTTGTGAGATGACTACTTTTTTAAAAATGATCGACGAAAATGTATTAAGAAAATAGATTTAGTTTGACAATGTAAATACGAGTACTAAACATGAGTCTTATTTGGGGATGAATGAAATATTATTTAGTCACGGTAATTTTATAATTATCAAACTCAATTTTAAGTAAATATAAATGTCTTACATTATTTTTGTGAAAGGTGTTATTTCTGAATCTGAATAGCATTTCAGAATATTAATTTCGTTCCAAAATACGGCTCATGCATGTTAAAAGAAAATGGATATGGTACTATTGAGGGTAAAAGGTGTTTGCGCGAAGGATTAGCGAAAAATTGATGTGACACTGGAATGATAATATCTAAAAAAAATACTAATAGATTACCAATTTTAAATAATTTTAATATTTTTACTCATATTGAACTTTTAGTACCATTATTAACGTTCTTTAATATCACATATCCCAGTTTTAAAAAATTCACAAGTCTCTCATAAAACAAGTCTTCTTCTCGGCGTTCTGAAAATAAATCTTCTTCCACGAGACATCAACTCTATCCCATCCAATAAAAATCTCTTTGTGAGGCATTGAAGAAAGTCTTTTACACAACTTACGTGCGTAATAGCCATCATACTCTTTCTGTGGTGCGTTAGTTACCACATCGCATTTCTATAAATATTCATTTTGCTTTATATAAGGGGAACCAACCCTATTAGCCGTTGATGTGCAACTCTTTAGGATTGACTTTGTTCTTTGGCCCGAAGCTGCGGACCCATGCTTCTAAAGATTGACTAATAAATTTCTACTTAAAATTTACATGATTGGGTCAATAGTTTCGAGCCAGAGGGTCTATTCAATTTCATTTTCTTTTTTTTTTAAAAAAATATTTTCTTTAAATTATTTGACTTTTGTTTAGTTTTTTTAAAATATTTTCATTAAATTATATAATCTGATCACTTTTTTGTTTTGTTGAACGTTTTGAATAGTTCTTTTATTATATAATTTTTTTTTTAAATTTTAGACATACTCACATAAATTTAATTGAAAATAAAATCGATCAAGTCACGTAACGCGTTTTCCCTAAGGATCTATGGAGGACAGACGAAGTACAAATAATTATCTACAAATAATAATGTGATGTAATTGTAATAAAACAAGTGTGTAATATACTCACTATGAGTGTAATAAATGATAGAGTAAAAAAAAGTGATTGAAAAAGGTCTATTCAATCTCATTTTTTAAAAAAAAATCATTAAATGATTATTATTTTATTAAGCTTTTTTAAACAATATTGTCATTAAACTAAAATGACTTCACACAAACTTATAATTTGGGACGGGGGAATATAAAAAAATAATGCATGTATATACACAAAGGAAGTGGTGGTGATATGTAGTCAATGCAAGTTGTTTAAACTTATTGACCATGCTACTAATTTTGAAATTAATGATCATTTAATGATACAAAACAATGCTTTTTTTGTTTAGATTTTTGTTATTTGTAAATACTTTTTTAATACTCACTACTCATCATGACGTCAAGGCTTCAAGCGTTCGTTCTAGAGGTGAGCATGATAGGAGATATATACAATATGGTTTAAGATGTTCTTGCTTAGAGAAATTCAATTGAATTCGCGTACTTTTTGAATATTTTGCTAAGTACAACTGTTTTTTTAGCTTACTAATTATAAATTCTCAAAAAAAAGAGAATAGATTACCAATTTTTAAATTTTTAATATTTTACTCATACTCCATAAAAAACTTCTAATACCATTACTAGTATTTTTTTTAATTATGTTGACAATATAGGATGGAGTAGCTAAACAAAAACATGGCAAATTCTATAAATTACATGACACAATATTACCAGTGGGCATTCCGCAATTGGCAAAACAATGAGTGCTCATCAAGAGTAATAACTGAGTTCGATTTGTAGCAACTGCATTGGTAACAGATTTATGTATGATATAAAAAGAGTGAAAAAAAAACTTAATTAGTTATTCTTTAATGGTAAATGTGCTCTAGCCTCCATGTTTAAAATCATATTGAATTCATAATTAAATTGCCTAAAGCTAAGGTTATTCAATCTGCTGGCAAGAAAGAAATTAAAGTACGTTAGTTACCACACCGTATTTATATAAATACTCGTTTTGCTTTTATATTAGGGAAGCAAATTCACGTTACCGTTAATACCCATGCTCTTTGGCTTGAAGCTATTGATCCATGCTTCTTAACATTGATTATTAAAATGTTGTAATTAGTATTTACAAGATTGGATCAATAGCTTCAATCCAATGGGTTTTAAGTACTCAATCATACTTAGTTGTTTTTTTTTTGAAAATACTTTCGTGAAATGAACTTCACACAAAATAATACTCCCTCCAGCCTCCCATATATCTATTCATCACGTGTTACGAACTTACAATGTTTAACAAATTTTATTCTTAATTCAATTTTTTTGATCATAGAAAAAACAAAACTAAATAATCTTATTTACTTTTTTTTTGAAAACATTTTCATAAAATTATACAGTACTTAACACAAAATAATACTCCCTTCACACTCCCATATATCTTTTCATCACGTGTTACGAACTTACGATGTTTAACCGATTTTATTTTTAATTCAATTTATTTGATCGTAGAAAAAAGAATACAAGATCTAATTTGATTGAATATATTGATCTTATGATTTGATTTAATTACTGAACAATTTATAAATGCAAGGATTCACACTTTCTTCTTTTATTACACTTCACCCACCTGAAAAAACATACTCTATCCACTATGGCTAAGGGTAAAATAGACATTCACATTGTTTTTCTTTCTAAACTCCCTTTAAATATATGAAAAGTCAATTTGGAAAAACCATTCTCGGTAACTTTTTTATTTGTCGTCAAGGTACGTTTAACTGATTTTTTTTAAAAAATAATTGTATAATATCATTAGTACAATCAATTTAATTTTTCCTTTTTCTACAAAACAGAGTCAACCTTAATAAGAGAGGTAGAATGTCTTCATTAATAACATAAAGTAAGGATTCTTTAAAATGAAAACGCACATCTTCATGTTTTAGTATGCAGCTCTCTCCTATCATTTGGTTGGATATATATATATATATATCCCTTTCGGTACAACTAGAGATGAATACATACGTATCTAACTTTACATTTAAAAATGTAACGAACCCTTTTCTTTAATACTTCGCGTGTTTTTGAAGTTTCGGGGTCTCAAAACAGACTAATATTAGAAGTAACACAGCTAATGATTGCTGAAACTTCTCATTCCGAGTATCGTTTTGGTTTTCGTTTTGGTCGCTTTTGTTTCAGAAACAGCACTTCTGCCAAACACAGAACATGGATCTCTTTCCTTTTTTTCCCTATTGCAAAAAAAAAAGACCCAACGAAACGAAAAAACAATGCCAAGCTGTCCTGGAAATACCTTCTGTCTATGGTTTTGCGAACCGCGCAACCTTAGTCAGCACTGTTCTCAAACTTCTAATGCCTGCACCAGATCTTGAGCTGACCATCATCTGAAAAAAGGAAAACCAACACATATACATTTGGGGTTCTTCGTATAATAAGATGTACAAAATCAAGCGCCAAAGGGAATGAATAATGGCAGTAGAGGTCTTTATACCAGAGGTTGAACCGCTGACTTGTTCGCCTTGAGGTTCTACAAGATTATTACGCCACGGTGAAGTTAAAAACAATTAACAATGTCGACCCTAGAAGAGTTGAAAATTTAAAATTACATCAGTTAAAAACAGACTCATATTCACCTCTTCAATCTGCATTGCACGGCGTGCCACATCAATTGGGAATACAGTATCACTCTTGGTCAAAATAATCTGATATTTTCTTTTAACTCTGTGGAAGACATGGTATCACCAAGGGTTATAGTCCATGATGTTGAGAAGAATGGGATTTCTCCTCTATTCCATAGCAAACAAGCTAAGTTGTAATCTTTTTACCCTAAAAACATAAAAATTGCATTGGCACAATGATATATTTTCTATTACCTTTCCATCATTTCGATAAGTTCATAATCTCTTGCCTTCATACCCCATTTTGCGTCAATGAGAAGACATACTTTTTCAAGACCAACCCTTGTGCAGACATACTCTTTCACCTGAAATTTAAAATGTTATAGAGAACCCAATTTGTTGCTGATCAAATATTGCATATCTAGTAAGCAAACTCACAAGCTCCTGCCAAGTTTCCTTCACTTCTTCTTTGGCATAGGCAAAACCATATCCAGGCAAATCAACCAGACATAGCTTTTTCCCAAGATTGAAGAAATTAATAGTCTGCATCAAGGTCACGTGTCATTTCGAATGCACTGTGGCTCATATAATCCATTCATGAGAGAAAAGAGATAACCCACTTGAGTTAGTCCGGGCTTATCTGATGTTCGTGCAACACCCCATTGTCTAGTCAATGCATTTAGCAGAGATGATTTCCCAACGTTTGATCTTCCTATTCAAATTCAATGAAAGAATTTTAGATCAAATAGTAGCAAAAGCTTTAAAGACATAAGGTAAGATTGCCCGTAATATGGCTGGTGCACGATGAAAAAAGAAAGAAAGAATATTACAAAGCATGGAACCTGCAAATGCAATTTCTGGGAGATCCGGTGGGGGAAAAGATGAAGCAACCTTTGCAGCAGCGAAAAAAGTCAATTTGTTCCTAAATACCTGAAGAGAGCCAAATTATTAAACATATTGGAATCCAGTGCAGCATACAGGAGATAGGACTCTAAGTTCATTCAAGTCTTAGCTCAATGAGGTACTCCCTCCTTCCCTAAACTAAGTTCCCAGTTTTCCCACATTTCCTTTTTGGAACGTCCCAAAAAAAGTACTCACTTTCCTTCAAGGAAATAATTGTGTGGTCCATATGATTTCTCTCTCTTCCGCATAAATCTCAACTACACAATTTTACTTTTTCTCCAGTAAAATCAAAGTGGGAACTTAATATAGAGATGGATGAAGTATCAATCATCATCTTATTGATGAAAATGAAAAAAAAAACCATTAAACCAGAAGATTGAGATTCTTAGGACTGAATAAGTTACAGTGACAAGAAAGTTGCAATCTCCAGCACACTAAAGACAAAAATATTAATTGACATATCACCAAGTGGACTGCTAAAATTTTATAAGGTACAACCGTACAATTGAAGATAATATCATGCATGGATTAGAATTTACCGGTTCTTCAATCTGTTGCCTTTCTGAAGTGGGAGTTGAGCTTGACAATGATGGTATATTATCTAAAGGCACAGAAAGATCAACGTTGTAACCCGCCCTTCTTAACTCAATTTCACGCCTACGGCCCAATAACTACAAGAGAAAACAAAAGTCCATAAAAACCACTCGTGTTAAACAAAACAAGAAAAAGAGTGTTCTGATTAGTATGCTACTCAAACATACAAAGCCTAGAAAAAATAAATTACATTCTCTTCCACAAAGGACAGGATGGAAGGGCTAGGCCGTATGGCACGAAACTGTGCATTCTTTGACATTCCAACGTTACTTGTTTGCTCTATACCTTCTTTCTTCTTTTTATTATTATTGTTATCTGAAAGGCAAACAATAGAAGGTATTGATTAGCAAGGAATAAAACAACAATTTTAAATTTGTGTTACTCGATCTTGATTGGTAACTCTGTCCAAAATGTCCATAACGTTTAACGTAAATGGCAACACATTAAGAAATTAAATGCTCAAATGAAGAGTTTGATTGAAGAAAAATTAAGTACAGCAAGCAAGATAATGTAATAATCCTTATATAAAAAGAATCATGGTTCTTATATGTTACTCCCTCTGTCCCCCTAAGATGTTCTCATTTTGACTTTAGGTGGTTTTTAAGGAGAGTTGAAAAAAAGTGAAAGTTTACCATAATACCCTTAATGAAAATGGGTGGAGTGTATTAAATGAGGTGGGTGAGGTGGAATAAATAAGGTAAGTGAGGGTAGTTGTGGTATTTTAATTGTTAAAAAATGAAATGAGAAGATCTATTGTGGACAAAAAATGAAGGTGTTACAAAATTGAGAGAATGATAACTAGGAAAAGTACAGTGGAACATAAAATATAGAGAGTACTACGGAGTATTTTTTTAAAATAGAACTGCATAAGCTTTTACTTTATTATACTAGAAAAACAGGTAAATATTTCCAGATCCATATATGAATTAAACTGGTTAAGGTACCCACAACTACAAAATGAATTCAAAACACTTCCTATTCAACAAAACCTCTTCTTTTTCAACAGCAGAAACAAAAAAAAGAAAATTCCCAATTTGATAAACAATGACCTAAAGATGACTTTAATTTTTTTGTAAAATGAAAATAAAAACTGTGTAAAAATAGACATGATACCTGCGAGAACATATAAAGGGGAAAAACGCCTCGCAGATACTAACCATTTATAGACATGTCATCTTCAAGCCTCTTGTTTGAACCATCATGAGGATCAATGCGGATTCTTTTCTTTTTCTTCTTAGGTCTCTCTGTTATGTCTTCATCATCTGCTGACCTCTTTGTGTCCTTAAGATTTCTCTTAAAAGATTTCTTGAACGGCTCAACTTTTTGCTCATTTTCCTTCTTATTTGCATTAGTTCTCACTTCGGGTTTTCTTTTTCCATTCTCGCTTCTCCTGGAATCCTCAAAGCTATGACCTTTAATTGAAGTTTCAGGTTTAGCTCTCAGTGTCTTCTTGTTGAGGAACTCACTTTCCCGGGCTTTTCTACCTTCTGACAAAGTATCCCCCCTACTCGACTTCCCATAAACACGATATTCTCCATTTTCTCTTTGCTTTCCTGAATGCAATTCAACTCTAATCTTATCCCTGCTCTTCCCAGAAAAATTCGTTTTGCTCCCTAACCCAATATCAGCATCAAATGATCTTCCATCACTAGAAGAAATTCTCTTCCTTCTCCCACCAGAAGACGGAGATTTGATATGACTATCCCCCATAAACTTTGGCATTTCCTTCCTATCTCTCCTTCCAGTCCCAAACACAGACTCGCCGTTGAACGAGATAACATCAGGCTTACTCCCACTCTTATTACCCTCCGAAGCACTACCGTAACCGGTTTTGCATTTACCAAATGAAACATTAAATTTCTTCTCAACCTTAACGGTTTTCAACCCCATTGCTTCTGGAATCGCGCTAAACTGCTAATTTGTAGCGACGAAATCGGCAATTCAAATCACATATCAGGCAATGGACATAATCAAGAGGCAATTTTAGGAATTTGTTTTTAGGTCAAGAACACAGCTGAAAGAGAAGAAGCAGAGTAAAAATGCATCCAAACCCTAAAGTATGCTCTGTGTATTTAGACATAAACACATATCTTTAGAAGTAAAGAGAAAATGACATAAGGAAAACGAGAAACGTACTACAATAAATTAAAACCTCTACCTTTGGGCTCCGTTCGCCGCCGTCAGTGTGGCGTTTTGGGGTGGCTCTCCCTGCAGAGCTGCGGCCGGTTTGTAGTCTCAGTACTCAGTAGTCAGTAGTGGTACGAGTGTTGACCAGTTTAAGTCTGGGCCAAGGCCCTATTTTTAGCAACATAGCAGCCCATTTCAACCATGGCCCAAATTAAACTGCAACTACTAGGATTCTCAACAAAGTAAATCAGTAGCTAAATCCCTTTGTTAGTTATGGATGAAAAAGAAGCCCATTATTGTTCCCCAAGCAAAGGTTTTTTACAAGCAATAATGGACCTGTTTGCGATTAGTGTTAGAGATTAGCGTTAGTATTTAAGATAAAATTTTAATGGATAGATTACTTTAAAAACGCTAACGCTAAACGTTATCCGTAGATAGCTTTTTTCAAAACGCTGACGCTAATTTTTAACCCTATTTACAAACAGGCTCAATTTCGATTATGTTTTATACATAGAATAATAACAAAGGGGAGACTTGTCAAGTATGTTAGATTGTTATAAAAGACAACTATTTTCAAGTATGTTATAATTCATGAAGCACGAAATGCATTACAAACAAATACTCCATAATAAAGTATGCATTCTAAATTTTGAAAAATGTAAATTCTTTATAAATAACATGAGAGCATCTTTAATCCAAAGTTGTTAATAAATTGCTTGACATAGAAAAGATGGTAGAGATATTCTAAAGCAACTCCCGCTAAAGATATTCTAAAGTAGTGTGATTCAATGATGTGTTTTCTTCATCACAAATCAAAATTTTCAATCGATAGGTGCTTTGGATTTTGAATTGTCTATCAAAATCTAATGGCATTAAGCATTTTATAGATTTAAAATGATTTTTACTATAGATGGATTTTGATGGATTTCACACTTATTTTTCTTAGTAAAAATCTTCTCGCGGATATCTTGCCCAAGCCATGAATTTTAAAGCAGACTTTAGCCCTGGAGATATATATACAGCTACTTGTTTGAGTTGGATTTGTGAGCTTTCTACCATAGTCTTTGATTGAGCTCTGACCCCTTCCGTTCAATCATTGTTCATCATCATTTGCATATTTCATGTGCTTTTGTTCCTCCTCTCACTTATTCTTTGTTATGGTGCTTGGGTAGAATCACAAAAATGAAAAAATCCTTTAAAATCCTCATGAAAAAATCTTTTAAAATCTATCTAGCTCTACGTGAATTAAAACAATTTATAGATTTCACATAAATCATGAACTCTAAAGAATTTATAAAAATCTTTTAAAACTTATATTGAATACACCCAGCTTAGTATTGGTCTCGTATAATATATTTCACGATATCCAATATAACAATGTAGTGTTCGTTTTCATACATTTGTTAATTACAAATATAAATTCTACAAACTCCATTAATTCTACATATGTACACTACAAAAATTCCACCAATTCTACAAATGTAATGGACGAATATTATACATCCGAGGGTACCTAGAGCTACATACACCTGAGAAATATTTATTTGAAACAATGTAGTGTTCGTTCTCATCCATTTGTTTATTGCTATTACATTATTTATTTACGAACCATGTAGTGTTCATTCTAAGCTTGATCAGCGTAATATTTATTCTAAAACAATATAGTGTCATTCAGAAATAATGTAGTGTTCATTCTAAAGCAATATACTCATTTTGAATTAACAGAATGTTCATTTTTAAATGTTTGTTCATTACAATGATAATATTCATTTACTCATTAGAAATTCAATGCTTAAACCAAAAATAAGACAACTGCCTATGGCAATTTAACAGTGTAATTGCTATTTCATAGTATTTTTTAGTATTATATATTGACATTATTGACATTGTAACACTTCTTTTGAAGATAAAGACACGATACTTCTATTTTGGTATTTTCTTTATGTTTTACTTCAAATTTAGTATTTTTTACCTACGAACAACGTAGTGTTCATCCTGAAAAAACGTAGTATTCATTCAAGACTCCTCAGCATATAGTGTTCATTTTGATGCAACACAATGTTTATTCTGAAACAACGTAGTGTTCATTCCACTGCTTCGTCAAAATATTACTTTCCTCCTCGATCCAGCAGTTGTCTTCACGCCACAAAACCTCTAGTACGAATCTCTACTCTTTTTGTAGCCTTAATAATACTACAAGCTATTTTGCCTATATTAGCTATAAGTATCATCTCAGTCTTTTCATCTCAGTCTTTGAGTCTCCTTGAGGTCCCTCATCATCGTCGTCGCAATAAAAAATAGAGTTTGCTGGCGTAAAACATGCAATTTCTGATGAATTTGTTGTTTGGCCATGTAAGGCATAGTACACGTTGAGCAGAATCACATTTGATGTACCAAGAGGAAGGTACATCTGGTTGTACTAAATTAAGTGCGACAAATGTAACACTTTCTTTGTTCTTTAAATACTCTCGTACTTTGTAATACGTGAAAACATCTACCGTATAATTGGGTGTATCTAGAGGTAAGTACATTTGGCAAATATTCATATTGAATCAACGTAGTGTTCATTCTGAAACGACGTAATGTTTATTATAAAATGTATATATTCTGAAAAAATATTGTGTTCGTTCTCAAATAACGCAACGTTTGTTCCAAGTCACCTCTGTGTTTATACCACCCCCAAATTCATACCACCACCAACTTCATCTTCATCTTTATCATCTTCATCACATCTATTACAATTTATGTATCATCATCCCTCAGTTCTACTCATCACCACTGTCAAGATCAAACCTCACCGCCACCGTCGAGAACCATTCTCCCAGGTTAGTTTCTTGGATCTCTCTATTCCCCTTCGTCAATTTGTTCCCTTCGCCAATTGCTTTGTTCCACTTCGTCTTTTCTGCTTCGCCATCTCACAACCAGTTGTACACAATTTGGGTGCAACCGGGGATACCAAAGATATTGCGGCAATACGTACGCGCCTCGATTTTAAATAGCATTACTCCACCCCACCCAAGAGAGAGAGAGAGAGAGAGAGAGAGAGAGCGAGAGAGAGAGAGAGAGAGAGTGTGTGTGTGTGTGTGTGAGAGAGAGAGAGAGAGAGTGAGTGAGAGTGAGAGTGAGTGAGTGAGAGAATGAGTGAGTGAGTGAGAGTGAGAGAGAGAGAGAGAGAGATTATCCTTAGCTAAAGTTTTACAGAGTACTTATCTCTCTTATCTATGCTTTCCCTATATTTAAACCTTTGAAAAACCAACTAATGTTTCTATGGTATGTTAGCAGCTACTATATCTCATATATGGTTTCATTCACTTCCTCACTGGTTGGTCACATGGGCGTCAATGGTGGGAACTCGTCTTCGTTCTTCAAGCGGAAGGGCTGGTCTGCAAATCTGTAAAACACAAACAAAACAAAAAGCTTAAGAGCATGTCCAAAAATATACAACAAATTTATAAAAAGCACTTTTGTACAAAACTTGCTTACCTTTCTTTTCTGCACCACATCTGTTTTCCACCTGATGGTTTATCATAACGACTGGTTGGGGCTGAAAGAGAGGTATCGCAGAGTTTCCCTAATGACCCAAACTCAATCTCACTGAGCGAATTCGGAAGGCTATTTTCGTCAACAGAAGAATATCTACTGTGATGGTAATGGTATTGGTTGGATGACGAGAGCTTCTCGTATTTCTTGCAAGACGTTTGGGAGTGTAAAGAAAAATCTTGCTTGAAATCATCATTTCCCCAACCGTTTGCCTCAGACAACACTGGAATCCATCCGTTGCTACTGGTCCCTTTTTGGAACTGGATTTTACTGCAGAGGTCTTTATTACCTCCACCCTTCACTTTGCAAGAGCGATCCTGTAAATAAAATACTTTTGAAGTTAGGTAGTGGTAGTAAGCAGTAATATGATGTAATGTAATCAAATGTATGTGCATCATAAAATCTACACTAAGAAAACATTTGATTGCGTTGCCCTACAGTTCATCAAAGATTGTGTAAATTCATGGCAAACTATGGAAGCACTTTTTATCCAATCTTGGCAACAAAAAAACCAGAGAGTTGGGGTAGATCCAATTCAATAAGAGGCTTAAAACTCAATCTGCAGAAAATGTAGTTCAAATGGTTGGATTATCTAAGGAAGTATTTTAAAGAATACTCTGTATGTGTTTAAATAAAACCAACAGCATCAACTCCATCCATTGCAGCCAAAAAAAAACTTCACTACCGTTTGTTTTTCCCTTATCACCAACTCTGCTAAAACAACAATTAGTATTTGGTGTAAAAAATAAACAAAAATTAAGTCCACAAACGGGCTGTTAATAATCTAAAATGAAGAAGAAAGTACCATCGTTGGTATGAAAGGTTTGGCTATTGACAGCTTTGGCTTCTCTTCATGACAAGTACCATTTGATGGTAGTGGGTTGTTAGCAGGCGAGGGGATGAATGTGGGTCCCACAAACATGGAACTCGTATTTGTAAAAGAATCTTGCCTGAATATTGTTGAATATTGAAAGGAGTCTTGAAATTGAGATTGAGCAAATAGGGGATCGGGCAATAATGATGTCATTGATGCATACCCGTGGCAACACTGGCCATACACCAAACTCCTGATATGACTGTCATAATCCCCTGTGAGGTCAGCCAGAGGATTCAAAGCTTCCAAATCATCCCCAGCTATGCTCGCTAAGTCCCTTTCCCGAAAATCAAGGGGCAAACTTTCTAAAATGCTGCTAGCCTTTGGGGTCGAGATTGCTGAATCAACAGAACATAGACTATCACTATAATCCGTCACATGATCCAGAGGTACCTCTCCTTGGTCTATCCATGGCCCAAAAAATGTCTTCCCATTAAGGCAATCGAATTGCCAGCTTTGGGTGGGGCCCCAATCTGTGCTGATTGTAGGAGCCCAGTCCCCAGGGGCAAAGCAGCTGTTTTCAAAAACTTGTTTCATCATCAAATTGTCCACCCCGTTCCTTAATATGGAAGAATCCTTTTTATCCTCACACTCAAAATTTTTGTAATTATCATTGCAATAGACAGATAATGGTTTTAATGGCATTTCATCCTCGTACGATATTGGCTCTGAGCTCTTGGGGTAAAACTTTAGGGGAGAAGAGTTCTTTAAACTATTTAAGTGGTTATGGCCATGCATATCAATGGTGTTCACAAAGAACTTTTTTATCCCATCTCCAATTTTATCCTGAGGGGATGAGAGAATCCGTCCAAGCTTGCGTACTCCGTACTTGAAAGCACTACGTATGCGATAGTAATTACCTGATTGCAACCAATTTTACAAAAGACTAATCAGTAATCAGATAACAAATTACCATTAAAAACTTAACAATGCAAACAGTGTCATGTTAGAGAATTCTTCAACTAATTAACCAGTGTTGGGCCATTGGCAGCATTCAGATGACTTCTTGGGTGTTAAAATAAGATGACAAAGGATAAACTCATGTTCCAACTAAGTTTTCATTTATTACATAATTTTCTAACATTGAATTACGAAAAACCATAGAAGTTCATTCACTTACCTCTATGCACACTGCGCCCAAGATTATTGTTTTCCTTCAACGGGTCAATAATATTGAGATGCTTTAGTTTAAATGGACATAGGCTACCATTTTCGTTGAGTCTAGATGGAACTGAAAACATTTCCATACAGTTCCTCAAAAACTCTTCACTGAGCAATGCATCATCCATTCCATTGTCAAGCTTGTACACTGCCAAAAAGTCCAAATACAATCATGAGTGAGCTGGCAAAACATAAATTTAATTAGGAAAAAACGAGACAAGGCTATTTTCTTGATTTTATTTTACTGCGGAAAATGCAAAGGAAAATGAAATATAATTAATACTCCGTACAAAATAATTTAAAACATTTTACATATGTTTAAGTCCAAACTTCAGTAGATTTTTTTCTGATATTTTTAGAGTTCCAAAATTGACCACATAAAGAGAGGAAAATGTATGCTGTGGATGCATAGACATTACTCATAAGTCATAATCATGCAAAGCATATACGCAATTTATAAACATCATACAACATCTAGCCAGGTTTAAAATTTAAAGCTACTGCTTACCCACAATCTCAGGAAGGGATGCCTTGGAAACCGGTCCATTCAAACTAACACAGTAGTTCTCCCAATCAAACTTACTGTAGTAATCCAAAAATCTATAAAGAACCTAAAAGAATTTAGAGAACCATCATGATCTAAAATTGAACAAACTTTTCCATAGACAAAGTAATACATGCCAAGTCACCAGCAAATACCGCTAGAGGACCATTTAAGGATGAATGGAAAAACTGGAAGATATATAGGACCAGTGCTTCCAATGCATAAGTAGAAATAAGACCATGATGAGCACCGAGAATTCGGCTTTCATAATAACACCAAGATTTTATCACCATAATACTGCGTTTGAAAAGATGATTCTTTCCAACAAGACGATCCACCTGTATTTGATTACAAAAACAGAAGAATCAGCAATTTTTTATTTTAAAAAAAGTAATTACCAGAAGTATTAGCCCATGAACCTAACATTTTTTCAAGTGTGCCATTAAAGGGGACAAATGGCATGAAAAATAGAACTGCAATATGTTCGCTTTATTTAAAATAAAAAAATAAAAAATTGAAAGCATCTTCTATTATTAATACAAACAGAAAGTCAACCAGCTTTAGACATAAATGATCATTACAAAATATTAAGGAAAAAAAGAGTATATCTATACAACTAATAGCACAATATTAACCAAGTTCTCTTTTTCCATTCTTAATTTCACAATAAATTCAAGGCATTACAGACTAGTTTATACTCCCTAGTAATTAAGTGAATGAGAGAGGGACCTTTATGCTTTACCTGCTCCAAGAAGCAAAGTGTGCAAAGACCTCCTAACTGATTAAACGATATATCAATTACAACATTCTGTACAAGGCATTTAACAAGTTTAACCTGCCATTAGACATTCAGATGTATTAGTTAAATGAAAAAGAAAGAAATCATTTAAGACAGTTTTGGAGTACCATACAACATGTAAAAAATTAAAGTTGAAGATTAAGGGCCCATATGTAGTCAAATTATGCTTTTAGTTTTTCTAAATCTTATAATATTCTATGAACAAAAATGGAAAAAAAAACTTGTCAGTTTATTTCTAAAGCTGTTTTTTTCTCAAATTGCATGTAAGGTTATTAACCAACTCGTCACCTCAACCCAATACACACTGATACCCAAACTACTTCACATGCCTCCTAACTCAACTAATCATCCCCCTACCTTGATATACCACACCCTACACTCTCCAACTATCCTCCTACCCCAAAAGCTCAAAAATTGTAAGATCTCAATATTGTTGATACTAGCCAGTTCTTTTCTTGCATGTATGAATGAAAAACATCTTTTGATAACCAAAAACACAAACGAAATAAAAAAAATGTTGCAAATAAATAACTGAGAGACCACTATAATAAAAAAATGTTGCAAAAAAGGACAATTATATCAATTCATGGCCACAAAAGCTATAGTGAAATAACTGGAAAAATTGCCTCTCAGTTCATAAAAAATATGGAGTAATATAAATTATCAAGTATCAGAAAGAAGACAACCTCAGCATCAATGAATTGAGTATCCTTGACTTCAAACTCAGCATTTCCATTCTGTTCTTCTGCCCTTAGAAGAGCAAGGACATCATGTGCTAGAGATTCTTCAGCATTTGGACTAGTAAGAGCAGTCAAATCTATATCTCCATCAGGAAGATAAGTCTTCAGCGGCACCGATCCGTATGGGAAAGCCTACACAAAATAGCGAGTATAATCAATGAAAATATATTACTCCATATTTTTAAAAAATGATTAATCAAAGAATGTTACAATTTCGTCAGCATAATCATGTTATAATGTACAAAAAAATTCTTATGTTGAACTCTAGCATTCAGTCAATCATAAAAATATATATATCAGCTAGAAAGTGTTAGATATAATCGGGTTTGTTCACATATAACCGAATGGGTAATGAGTCAATGTTCGGGTCAGTTAGTATAGAGTCAAATAGTGTGGTGTCGTTTAGTGTGTTTTACATATTTAATTAATTAAAAAAACAGTGGGTAGTTTCTAAAAGGCAGTTATGGGTAGTTTCTATTGTTAATAGGTGTGTTGGTTTGTAATAGTTGTGTTGGTTAGTAAAAGTCATGTTGGTCTGTTCTCTATTTATATTTAGAGAACACAAATAATCCTGTACAGTTTTTACATCAATAAAATATTCTACTTTGCTTTGATTTGGTCGGTTGGTCCGGTCTAACAATTGGTATCAGAGCAAAAATCCAAAAAGGACCCAACGGTCAAAAGGAGCGGTCTGTCTTGTGATCAGAAGTTGTATGATCAAGAGTAGAAGGGCTGCCAGATCATAATACAAAGTGTTAGAGAGTTCCTCGACAACAGATCAAAAATCTTTGACAAGATTCTTCCTCGCCTAGGACAAAAATAGCAGGTGGCTAATTTTTTCCTTTGGCAGAAGCATGTTGGTGATGTGTAGTCATCGGCCCAAAGTGGCCCACTTGTAGACAACTGAGAATTAGGAGACCAGATTAGGGTTTCGGCCGGCCCAAATGGTTTTAAGCCCAGTTTGCTATAACTTGTCCAGCAAGGGTTAAACCCTAATTAGTTGTCTATATATTTGATCTCCTGTACTTGTAATCATTATCACTCAATAAAACAAACCCTAGTTGCCCCTGTGGATGTAGGTCAGATTAGACCGAACCACGTTAAATCTCGTGTTTTTATTGCTTTCTTGTTTTCTGTTCGTGTGTGTGTGCTTTTGTTCTTAACAACTGGTATCAGAGCCTAGGTCATACACACAGATCTGCCTCCACTGCCAACCCTAGCGACTCTAGGGTTTCTGCCGACACATCAGAAGACCACCGAGATAGTCATCTGTGGGCAGTCCGAACAACCTTACTGTTCAGTTTGCTGCTGCAATTTTCGAGGTCAGTTCTGGTTGTTTGTTTCAATCTGGTC